TTTTTGCACTTTATCTGCCTAATGTGCACATTAACGTCTTCCATATCACTGTTTCATCATTCTTCCGTATCATTGCTTCTCTCACTTCCTTTTCCTCTCCCTCCTTGATTGTATTATGATAATCGAAAATGTATGATGATGTATGTAAATGAAAATGTATGTATGATATTTAGATATCGAAAAATAAATAAACATCATGTTAATTTCTTTAATTGTAATAATATTTTAAACCAATTTATTCTTTGTATTATGTTTTTTTAATTGATTAATGATTGATGATTGGTTCTATCAACTAATTTGTTGATTGTATTAACTTGATTTTTAGATATCGAAAAATAAATAAATAATTATATGTTAATTTAACCACACAGAAACATTACTGTTGTTCCAGCAAAGATCTTATTTTCTCTTTAACAAGTCCTAGAAGGTAATGTGCAAATTGTATAGGTAATCTCAGAAATGAAACAATTTTCCGCACTTTAATGGATTACTCTAATTAATCTGCAGAATAACTGATTTCTGCACTTTAGCGGTAACATATATATATATATATATACCAATTTTAATGCATCCAGCTAAATGTACTTTCACAGGTCCAGCTAGTAATTAACAACTTAAGTAAGCCTGTTGTTTATTGCTTTTAACTGCATAATTTGTTAATTAATAACAGAATAAATTTGAAAGAAAACTTTAACCCTAACTTTGCCAAACAGCAATACACCAGCATGTGGAAGATAAAAATATTGGTACTTCCTTATTAAAAGTGGCAATTATTCTTATTTGGCAACCTTAAACCTTAGGATTATGGCAAGATCCCAGCTCCAATTTCGCCAACCTTGTGAAGACTGAATGTAAATATAAAAGATAATATATAATAATAACAATAATACTCACATGTTCTTTCCTAAAAATGTTTTTAATAATTGTTATGACAAAACCATAATTCCGAAACTGTTTTAAAAAATTCGTCAAATTCGTGAATTCTGAAAGATATTATTTGAGGTGATGTCAAGCCATGTCCTGTTGTTTTTTTATTATACTGTTTTTATTATACTACACTCACGTTTTAGATGTGAATACCCATTGTTGGGTTTACGAAACTGTACTTATGATTCACAGTGAAGTGACAGTAACCAGCTTCTTGAAGTGGTTAGGGTTGACTTTAGGGTACCACTTGTATTATCGTGAAGTTGCGGTTTCATTTATCCCCAAGTTGTTTCATTTATAACCAAATTGTTGTTTCATTTATGGTAGCCTGCATAGTTGAATGTTATGGAAATCCTATTATGATATAATCATTGCAATAAATTCATAAGGGGTTGTGGTTATGTGTATGTTGGTTAGGAAGTATATTGCTTGTTTTGTGGTTTAGATGGTAAAGCGGACGTATGTGGTAAGATAAATTTGAAGTTTCTGTATGATTTAGAAAGAAAGGGAGAAACAGCATTACTTGACTGGTGTGTAAATGAAGGTTTACTTAGTAGCCATTATTAGGTGTCCTGTTTATAGGAAGGAAATGCATATAGTCGAACATTAGAAATGTGTATGGTCGAACGGAGGATATTTTTTACTCTTATTTTCTGAATTTATGTGGTGAGGCCACTATCCAGATTCTAGGGTAAAAGTATAGTTTAGGGTACCCCTTGGCGATTTTTGGCAGTACATGGATACCGATTTTGTGCAATGCTTTGACTCAGTATTTTAACTTGCGAAGAGGCGATTTTTGGCTAAACAAAGCCAAAATAACAAGACAAACAATTGCACAAACTCGGTATCCATGTACACATTGACTTACTTTCACTTGAAAAAACACCCCCAAATTGCACTGGCATTGCGCACTCCTTTGACTTTATCCATGTACACGTTGACCTATTTTCATTTAAAAAAAAAAAATCCCCGAATTGCACAAATATGGCATTGCGCACTCTTTTAACTTTATCCATGTACACGTCGACCTATTTTCACTTAAATAAAATCTCAGAATTGCACAAACTTGCATTGTGCACCTTTACTTTGTCCATGTACACATCTATATATTTTCACTTAAAAAGTCAAAGGAGCACCAAAGTCTACAATATAGGCACACAAAAAATACATAATCTCAATAAAATATATTTTAAACCAAACAATAAAATAACATAAAAAAAGAAAAACATGTTATACATTTAAGCACTACCAAAAGCAAATATTCACTTACCATGATTTTCGAATTCGCTTCGTACACCCAGAGCCACGTAAAAAAATCAAAATATCAATCATACTCAAATGACGTTTTTCAAACCAGGTACTCTTTCTGATCGAACGCTTCACATAGCGACCATCTGAGCCTTTCTTCCTACAAACCCATTCAAATCCATCTAAACGGTTTTAACACACACCACAAAAACGCTTACAAAACATCCCATGATTCAAAATTTCCCAGAATCATGCACCCGATTACGTCACAATAGGGTTTCCATAACATTCAACTACTCAGTCTACCATAAATGAAACAACAACTTGGCGATAAATCAAACAACAACTTTGCCATAATACAAGGGGTACCTTAAAGTCTACTCTACCCAATTCTAGTTCAGATAATTTTAGGAAGTTTTTGGATGCTGCTAAGGAATTTTGTTTGACTGAAGACGTGTTAATTTGTAAATAAGGTAAGTGGATATTTCCTTTGCGTAATGCAAAGATGAATTTCCTTTTTTATGTTATTTCATTATTTGATTTAAAATGCAGTTTATTGAGATTATATATTTTTTTTGTTGGCTGCTCCTTTGACTTTTTAAGTGAATACAGTTCGATGTGTACATGGTCAAAGTCAAGGTAGTGCGCAATGTTTAGTTTCTTCAACTGAATTGCACAAACTCAGTATCCATGCACCGCGAAAAATCACCAAGGGGTACCCATAAATATATTTTTACTGCAGAATTTTTTTTTTTAAATGGGTGGCTCTTTATAAGTTCGCAACTGCTTGCACAGCATCCTTTCCAGATGTGAATCTACTGGTTTTCATTCAATAAATCATTGTTTTTCACAACCTATCATTAATCAAATCCTCTAGAACTTATCCAAAAGCAGACAATAAATATGCAGATCTATACGGCGAGGGTCAAATTCGATTCTTTCCTAGTTTTGAAAATGGGATTAAACAAGCACTACTGTACAAAGTGGTACAAACTGATAAAATGAAAAAAAAAAAAAAAAAAAGGCAATGGGTATTTGATGGCGTTGAAAAAGGGTGAATAAATCATAAGGCAATTTCAATAACCTCACACAAATCACTGTAAATCACAGTTTGACATAAAAAGACCCGGTTGATCTTTACAATACGGTAACAGGTAGTTTGGCGACATTTTGGAGGCGATAAAGGTTACTACCTGGACTTTGGTAATAATGTGAGCAGTACTCAGTTCCGATTACGCATTATTTTGTGTGAGGGAAATGAGAGATCATGGGATATGTCATGTGATATTAATGGACGAATTACGGTTCTTGAATCGGAAAAGGGGGGAAATCTGGAACAAATCTAGAAATTTTGTATTTGGTTTATTCTGTGTTGTGTGAAAACAGTGTTCGTGAATTTTTGGATCCCATGGCCGTAACTCAAGAAAAGTTTATCGGACACGTAATCAAGATTCTGAAGAAGATTAGGTAAGTTAGTATTTTTTAATTATTTGAGGATATTATTTTTATGCATTGTTCTAAATGTAAGGTGGAAAGGAATTTTGTATTATTGGGAAAATTGTTATTAGCAATGATTTAGTTTAAAGTAATTAGGATGTAAGGTAATTTTTATTAATTTAATGTATGTGCTCATTTATATTTAAGTAGTGTTTTTGAATTTAATTATATTTTAATGAAATGATAGTTATTTTGTGAATTTTATGTTTGTAGGAAATTTGGTATACGTTTAAGTTGAAATAAACGTGCATGAAATAATTTAAATATTTGATATTAAGTATTTGTAATGCTTGCGGTATGAATTCGTTGGTGACGTGTATAATGTAATAAGATGATTTAGAGGTAAAAGGTTTTGGATATTTTTTATTTTATATGTGGAAATGTTCATATTTGTAAAGGGTAAATACTTTTTTTTTTTTGCGATCAGGTAATTTCATATATGTTCTTTTTTACCGGGTTTAAAGATTGAGAAAATTGTCATGTATTTTTGTGAAATTTTTCTAATTTATGAGAAAAAAGCAGTGTACATGGATATAGTGAAGAGTGTGCGCAATGCCATTTTTGTGCAATTCTGGGATGTTTTTTTTAAGTAAAAATAAGTCGCCGTGTACATGGTTTATGTGTATGTGTTATTTTGAAAAACGCGTAAGGAGTATGGTATTGTGCACTTTTTCCCAATTTTGCAGTGAATATTTGTCATGATTAAGCAGTTTTGTTTGATAAAATTTCTAGCATAAGTGTAATTCGGCTAGTAGATTGTTGGAAGAAGTGTTCAGTAGATAAAAAGAAAAGAAACATGTCTTTACTTCGTGAAGACAAAATGGCGGCGGGGAAAAAAAATAGAGGGTTGCTGTAGGAGAGTTGGTCGCCAAATTTTCGCCAAAAAAACGCTAAGTTACCATAATGTAAAGATCAACCAAAGACCCAATTCACTAGAGACCACATAAACAAGGTGGAAGGTTTGTGGAATCTTATAAAAATTTTGGTATCATTTACAAGTTTTATTTTCTGGCTTCTCCCATTTGACCTGTACCAAAACTATATACAAAACATGAGCATGAGATACCTGTTTTGGAGAGAATATGTTATCCTGATCTAACAAACTTATTACGAGCATAAATTTCAGCCAATACGTATATCAATGAATAAATTTACACCAATATAAGTAAAAATACAGAAAACAAAGAAAGTACAGTAACAGTGGCAGTTGCATACGTTTCTAATACGTACAAAATACACTACACAAATATGTACACAAATGCATTGTTTCCAATTCATTTGGAACTAAAATTCAAAATGTGCACAAGCGATCACATTTAAATACTTACGAATACATCTTTATTCTTCACAGTGCTGTAATATGCACCACACTGTCTAGATATCACATTTCGCAATTGCAGTCTGTATGGAAGCAAATTTAAAAACGTTGTGTTCATATCTTCACCTTACCACCCAATTGTTTATACCATAAACTGCACCACTAAGTTATTACTATTACAAAGAAATATTACTACAGAAAAACAACCTGTCCCTAAGTTGTAGACCTTTTTAACTCATCACATACAATTAAAACACTAACTAATCGTTTTAGAATATAAACAGTATAAAAGGTGACTGGGAAATGTTGCCATTTCATCTGAAATATATTAACATGAGGACTGGATGGCTGATATAATATCACTGCTGATATAATAGTTTCCCAATTTTTTAGGCAAATATATTTTTTTAAATTATAATTAAAAAATAATAATAGGTCGTAAATTGTTATCTGAATTTTTTTCTTCTCAAGTTATATTCTTAGTTTTCAGTACCTTCCAGATATAGCTGTATGCATGATAGTTCTCGTATATATGAAATACATTTGATGTATTTAAATTTGAAATATATATGATAACGTAAGTTAAATAGGAAATTTTTCAAGGAAAAATTCAATAATAAGCGTGACTTGATTTAATAATGCATGTGGCAATGGGTGGAACTAAAAGAAATAGTGAATAATTGCGTTTGGAGGATCTCTATAGACAATGATCACATCTAACAGAGATGTATCATGGCGAAGAAAATTTGTTTACGATGAACTTATAATCGCTGATATGTCTCTCTCTAAAGAGAGAATTCAGCTGAGATGCGGTGATGAGTGCTGCAATAAGTTATTACGAGCACCGAACCGTTAACCATTCTTTTTGGGTGCTTTAGTGTATGATTTTATATGAAGCCTATGTAAATGAGTACTCCTGTCGGTAGTCTGTGTGTTCATTCCATGGCTCAGCCGCAAGCTCTCATGGAACATGTGAGCTTTACCTCTCATTTAAATGTGGATAAACATGAGGGGTTCGGGTCCTAGCAGCTTTATATAGCTATCGCTTTGCGTATTTACCCTGTCCATGGAACCTAATCAAGGGATTGCAGGAGGCGATAATGGCCGTGAAGACAAAATCCAATTTTGGACAGCTGTTTACGATTATGAAGCTGTGGGAGACGACGAATTATCATTACGTAGAGGAGAGCAAGTGGAAGTGTTGTCTAAAGATTCCAAGATATCTGGTGATGAAGGCTGGTGGACGGGTAAAATTGGTGATAAAGTTGGGATTTTCCCTAGCAATTTCGTGACTCAACAAGATATAAATCGCTTAGAACAAGTAGGAAATAATAGTAGACCTTTTGAAATCCCATTTTCTGAGTTGGAGTTGGAAGAAGTGATTGGTGTGGGAGGCTTTGGTAAAGTGTACAGAGGATTTTGGAGAGGGGAGGAAGTCGCTGTGAAAGCTGCTAGGCAAGATCCAGATGAAGACATAAGTGTAACAACTGAAAATGTGAGGCAAGAAGCAAAATTGTTTTGGTTGCTGAATCATCCAAATATTGTAACTTTGAAAGGCGTGTGTTTGGAAGAACCTAATTTATGCTTAGTGATGGAATACGCTCGTGGTGGACCATTGAATCGCGTACTGAGTGGTAGAAAAATTCCTCCTGATGTTCTTGTGAACTGGGCTATACAGATAGCTAGAGGAATGAATTATCTTCATTATGAAGCACCTGTATCATTAATCCACCGAGATTTAAAGTCTAGCAACGGTGAGGCATTTTTTATTGAGATTGTGTTTATTATATTTTAAAATTGTGTTTTTTCAAAACATCGACAATATCTTGTGTCAAAAAAAGAGTCAGATAAAATACATAATCAAGTATTTTATCTAATTAACACAAAAACAAATAATGAAGTAAAGTTGATAAATGTACTCAAAATATCAAAAATGGGAAATGAAAATAATAATGTATACATGGCCACCAAGTTTCTTGTTAGGTCACTAATCTCCTGGTTTTTAATTTTTAGCCAAAAGTGTTTTTCATCAATAAATGAAATTTAAATTATAGAAATTTCATCCTTCCAACCATCATGATTTTCCTTTATACTACATTTTACTTGATCCAAATTATCTTAGTTCTAAAAATTTTTACTGGCTTAATTCAACATTTGTGCAAATGTTCTACAAATTCTTATTGTCTAAATATTTAGACATTTGTAGAATATTTTAGGAAGATCTAATTAATGCTTAATCAATTAATATTTATATTTAATGTTTTACATCAGTATAGGAGAGATTACTGAATTTATGCACAATATAGTATGTACGCTAATAATTAATTTTATCTCAATGTATTTAAACGCCCTTTGATAAATTAAAACTTCTGGTCTCTTCTCGGGATTTTCTTGTTTAAAAAAATGCAAGAAAATTATAAATGAAATTATTAAAAAACATTAAATTATCTATTAATATATTTAACATCACAATCATATTATAAATAGTTAAATAATCTAAATCATACATTAATAAAACAAATTTAAGTCACTCAGACTTATTTTGAAGTGATACACTGCATAATAGAAAACATTCCACAAGCTTCCAGTTTTTCATATTTAAAGTTTCTCAGCCGTGATAATAAGAAAAACACTATAATTTTCTTCAAGTAATAAATGTATTGACTCTTTAGTGGTCCCAGTTTTTCATATTTTAAGATTTGCAGCTTATAATAAAAATAGACAGAATAATTTTGCTTAAACTAATAATTATATTAACACATTTATGGTGTCTGTATTTCTTATTTTCAGGTTGGCAGCTATAAGAAAATGAACAGTATAATTTTGCTTCAGCTAATATATTAACACATTTGTGGTCTCTGTTTTACATATTGTAAGGCTATGAACATAAAAGAAATAGTATATTTTGCTTCAATTAATAAATATAACATGTTTATGGCAGTGCCGGATCTTTGATTTTTCTGATGTATGGCAAAAGCTAAAACTGCCGCCCTCACCCATCATTCTGTAAGTGTTTCTGTAACAGATTTTAATTTAATAAATAGAGAAATAGATAGAGTTTGAGGTAAAAACCTAAGCTTCATTTTATATTAAATTCTTTACGTGTCTTTTTTTTTTTTTTTTTTTGGTTATAAAGGAAAAATATGTACCAAAGCTACATAATTAAAAAATCGACCCCTCCTAGATGAATCGCCTTTCTGTTCAGCTTACTTTCGGATTCAATCCTAATCCAAATTCGAATCGAGGGTTAGAAGCATTCGAAATGAATGCTTCTAACCCTCCAGTCCTCGCCACCATTCGATCTTCTGCTCTAGGGGGAACGGGCATCTCCTAAGTTTCCATATTATTGCATACTAGGTTAGATTATATGAATATGACAAAGACAGGAGGGCTATCTGCTTAGCGGAGAGGTGCTTTTGTGGAGAAACTTTTTAAAGGAAACTGGCTTGTATTCACGTTACACATGAGGAAATCCACAAAAACAAACCATGCAGCCAGCCCGTTCTCCTGGGTTTGAACCCAGACAAGGTCGAACTACCAGTATTCATAGGTCTTAATCACTCGGCCACTGCTGAGGACATTTGTCTGATTATTTACTATGTGTTTCGCCATTAGGCACTGCATGGGAAAGGAGGAATGCCCAGTGGAAAAAATTTGAAAGGGAAACTAGCTCGTATTTGTATCTATGTTACACACGAGGAAAATCATGGAAATGCTCATACAGCCAGCACATTCACATACACTTGACCCTCGGACCGAACTATTAGTGCTCAGCAGCTTTTACTGCTCAGCTACTAATGGGAAAATTGCTGAGAAATGCCTATTGCCGAAAGGAAATATTCTGAAAAGATTATACAGAATATGGGTTATTACTGAGAGTACTCATGCTTCCTGTCTTGTTTTTCATGCTTCTTATTTCATTAGTTATTTTTATTCTTACCATCCTTAACGCTATTAAAATATCACGGAATTGGTAACGAAAATTAAAATTTTACTCTGTAAGTCTTTTGTTCTTCAAATAAATGCATGTAATCGTCATAATTTGATCTGCGATTTGATTTTCGGTTGCCAGAATCGCAATACTTGATAAACGCTCCTGGCTCACCCATGATCGTAGATACTTTTTAATATGTTTTAATTTGCTGAAACTTCGATCTGAACAGGTTGAAGTGTTCGTGATTCGTCCTCAAACAGTTCATCAGATTGCTTTTTTTGCTTTGGAATTTTTTCTTTTTCAGAATAGACTCGACTGCAATTTTTTCGACTACTGTTTTAGGCTCTTGTATCCAATATTCCATAGGATTTTTCTCTCATTTTTTATAAATCCTCAGTTTTGGTCAGTTCTTTCGTTAACTACACAGAATGCGGAAGAGGAATTCCTTTTGAATACAGTAAGACCCCGCTTAACGCGGGGATACGTTCCATCAAAGTAGAGCATAATGCGAAACAGCGCTAAACGAGGCTATCTTTACGTGTAAATATTGGGGTTAGGGGAAGATGGCTAGGAAATTGGTTAGGTATTAAATTTAAAAAGTATGTTTTTTTAATAAAAATAAAACCAAACATTTATTTCTTAAAGCCCAAATTAATACCACATTATTATTTCTTGCAAAAATGAAAACAAAATATAAATAACAAAACGAATATTCTTAAAAAAAAAACAAATAAAATTCTCAGTCAGTCATATTTAGTTAGCCTTCCGCGTTTTCAGTGTTCTGCCTTTTTGTGACAAAAGCATCTAATGTTGTTTGCCTTTTTCTTTTGCGTTGTTCTCTTAAAAGTTCTTCATAAACGGATAGAGCATCTCTAACACCACGCCTTACTTTTGAGCTCCTGTCAAAATTCGGATCATTTTCAATGAATTGATCCATTATTTCAGTTATGGTAGACAAACTCCTTTTTACAAACGCCATCGAAAGTTCTTTTTGCTCTTCTTCTGAATCACTGCTGTCAACATTTTTGTTTTCTTCTTGTTCAGTTAATTCCTTGAGCTCATCATTAGAAAGACTAGCCGCTGCTTCTTGAATTATTTCTTCGACATCTTCCACATTTACCCCTTCAAAATATGTCTGTACAATACCGCACCAAACGAGAAATACAAGTACACTCTTTCGGATATGTATTTGAAACCTATCGCTGCATAATATTTCGGGGAATCCCCGTATGCTGCGAGCGATTTCGTGGAATCCCCGGGTTGAAATAAAAGAGCGCTAAACCGAAACAGCGTTAAGCGGGGTCTACTGTATCTATATTTACTCGATTGAATTCTGGAAAAATATTAGCTCAAATTTTCAGATTGATAGTAAATTCAGATTTTTTCACAGCATGTACAAGATGTCCTACCTCATGCTTTGATTCCACATCAAGAGAAATAGCATTAATTTCTTTTAAATATTTTATATTTCCGGTAACTTCATTAGGACTTTCACAGCCACATATTTTGCCAACCATCTCGTCTGGCTGCTTCCTTTTAAGTTGTATTTTGTACATTGTTTCAGATCATGCCATCGAGTAATGCATCGACAAAAAAGCGAAGTATTTTCTGAGTAATTCCAAACAGATTAACTGCTTCCGTGCATGAAGCAGAATGCGCACCAACAAGATACGAGGAGCGAGCCAAACATGGCACAAATTCCTACAGCTTATTCATTTCTGTAATCCTAGCTTGTACTGATTTAGAAATGCCATCCATATTAGACCCATTTTCATAAGACATACACCGACATTGTCCAATATCTAAACCAGTGGTGCGCAAACTTTTTTTTCGACTGCGACCCCTTTTGTAGAGAGAAAATTTTTGGCGACCCCTAGAGATAAATGTTCACAAATACGATGTATATTTTGCGCATTTCTTTCGTTTCATTGAATAAAAACATCATCATATCTGACTCATATTAATTTTGTTTATAATTTTAAGAAAATACTTTTTGTACAACACAAACATCAGTAAATTGCCTTTTAATGAGACGTATGTGGCTGCAAGTTTCTAATTATCTCATCAATGTTTGGATGTACGTTGCTAATTGCAATTCGCATATTGTCTTCAATGTTTAAACGCGAGCGGTATTTAGGTTTTATTGAAACTAGTTTGCTAAATCCAATTTCACATAAATACGTTGATGCAAATTGTATTAACACTCGGATGGCATTCTTGCATAAAATGGGATATTGTTTTTCCACGGATGGCCAAAATTTGTGGCAAGGCTGAGTCTTAAATTGATTTCGAAGAGTATAATCACTAATTAGATCTATCAATTGCTCTTTCTCACTAATTTGAAAAGTTGAACTGCATATGTCAAAGGAAAATGGATCACGAATCCAACCAAGATCGTTTTCAGGAAAATCCTCGAATCTTCTCGAAAAATTTTCCTTTAACTTTTCAATGTGATTGGAAATGATGTTTTTAAATGTAAATATATCTATATTATTTTCCTTGATAAAATCGTTAAAGCAAGGGAACATGTCGGTGTTGTTTTTATTCAGTTCAGTTTGCCAGAGACTAAGCTTATTCTTAAAAGCTTGAATTTTACTGGCTGAAGTTATGATAGTTGAATTCTCACCCTGCAAGCTCAAATTTAAGTCGTTAAGTTTTTCGAAAATATCAACTAAATAGCTCAGCTTCCCTAGCCAAACTTCATTGATATAATAACTTGCCAATCTATGTTTCTTTTCGATTAAAAACATGTACACTTCATTTCTCAAATCAAATATCCGTCGTAGTATTTTCCCACGTGAAAGCCATCTGACTGCGGTG